CTGAAGCGGAATCTCCTGATTTGAATCTAAAGATTTTTACTTCAGACTCATGGAGAAGATGGACAACCTCCTGCAACCTGTAAGATAAAGTTTGCTAAAGAAATGAAATACATTAAGAAAATCTTGTATATGAAAGAGGCTTCAAATCTGCAGATGTGGCAAGATCTTTATTTTCTCAGGTATACTGGTTAATATTCAACTTGTCAGCAAAATGGCAGTCAAACCTAGATTTGAGAGTATGACCTTTCTTGTACAGAGGCAGGTCAACTAGCCTTAAATGCATGAGGCTTTATTAGCAGAGGTGGTGGCAGGGGTACCTGAAGGGGAAGAGAAAAGGGAAAACTTCTCCCCACCAGTGAGGTGAGAAATGAGGGACACCCAGGCCGGTGTCCTCCTCCTTGGGGTGTCCTCTTGGTGCAGCAAGTGGCATGTAACACTGCTGAGCGTGACCCACTGGGAGCTGCTCAAATGACCCATTGGTTGTTTTTGCTTATGATGCTGTTAGCATCAATTATGTCACACTTGATGTGGTGCCTGAGCTGCATGCTGATTGTTTGCTGTGCCTTGCTCATGTCTGTTATTGGGTACTGTCTGTTGGATAAATAAAACGCCATTACCCTCATAGGTGCAGAAGTTGCCTGCTAAAAACTGTGAGGGAAAGGCTGAAGAGCTCTTACAATGGAGCTGTAGACTGGAAACTAAGATGTCAGAAGGCAGACAGGAAAAAAGGGATGAGTTAAAGACGAAAGGCAGACATTTCTGATGTAAAAATAATTCAGAATTGACCAGTGTAAGGCCATAAGGACAAGAACACTTGGGACAACAGGGCAAAGGCACTACCACATTTTCCCTCACGCTAGGGAGATGAGAGCTTAAGGAGATGCAAGTGGAAAGTATGCTACAAGATTGGAAGTAAAAGGGTCTTGGTATTAGAAAAGATAAGGTACCATGCAACACCCTCCATAGAAAACCAAGGATGCTAAGGCTTTAAATGTGGCTTCTTAAAATGAGAGGCTTAACTTGGCAGTGGGGAGTGGCATTGCAAACAGATCATGAAAGAAATATGTTGTCTAAGGGATGTGTGAATGCTTGGAGGGGAATAATTGCACGTTAGGAATACCTGGACAGTGGAGCTGCTGAGAACCACAACTCAGTGTGGTTATAACTAACAGGCTAGATTTTCAGCTAGCACATGCAAACTGCAGCCCAAGAATGATGTACTGATATCAAGGTGTATAGAGCTATGTGATAGTGTCTTCTGTGAAAAGCTGACATTGAGGTGAGGGCTTGTACAAGAAGGGCCAAAACTGTAGCAAAACATAAAGACTCTGCTCTGGCACTTGGGCTGGTTGAATTGATGATCTGAACAGTTCTTCCAAGTGTGCAGTCTGTCACATCCTAAATTCAGGAGATTTTACTGTCATTTGAGAGAGTACTGAGAAAATATCCACTGCATTGAGAAAAGACTGAGTATTGAGAAAAGACTTGCTGCTGGATAGGTGGGAAGAGGGTGCCCCATGGTGCATTCCAATGCAGGCTGCATGGGCTGTATTGATGCTGCTGTGCAAAATGTTGCTCCTGTGTGAAGCTCCAGTGTTGCTCACAGTTGGACAGTGGTGAAAGCCTAGGGTCAGTTTGATTAAATGTGGATTTTCTTTTTAAAGAACAAGTAGATTTTGCTTGGGGCAGTGGAATACAAAGAGAATCAGCTGTGAGCAGAACGTCTGAGGCATGTCTGTTATTGGATACTGTCTGTTGGACAAATAAAGAGTTTTTAGATTCTGCTACAAGGTGGGGATCCTCCCATCCCGGTATATCCTCACACTCTCAATGTCAAGTGACTTGGTGTGTTACAGCAAGAGGAATTAGGGAGCTGCTGTGGGTCAATGTGGCCTGTATGGGTGAGCAGTTATAATGTGCCCAGGTTGTAGGGGCTGCACTAGACCTGACTGATTAAAGGCATTTATGTTATGATGTTGATCTTCATGGTTTAGGGTTTTTTAAACTTTATTTTACTCCGAACATTACTTTTTGCCATATGCAGGATGAAGCCTTCTTGAAAGCGATGAATGTCCAGCAAGCCTGGTTTGGTTTGAGTGTCTAAAAGAGACACTCTGTGATGTGTTTTGGCTCTTGTGCCTTGCCCCAGGCTCTTCTTTCTCATCCTGTTTTTCTTTAGCAGTGACTGCATGTCTATGCAGACCTGTGCGGTTGTCTAGAACAACATGGCTTACCCTATACACCTTCCCTTCCAACAGACACTTAATTGTGGTCATACTTCTTGTCCTAGTCTCAGCACAGCTCTGCCTAAAAGATTTTCAAACTTGTAAAAAAATTTTTCAAACTAGATTTAAATCTTCCTTTGTTTTGTTTTGTTTCATGGTTGACTTTGCAAACTAACAGTCTTTATTCTCTTGGGCTTGGGGCTGGTCACAAGAGCCTGCATTGAGATATTCAATTATTTAGTGTCCTTTTAAAAGAAAAGGTAATGTATGCAAGAGAGATACAAGATCTGCTCTGGTGCCCATCTCTGCAGCTGGGATTTTAAAAGAACATTTTTATCAAGGCCCTTGCATTTGTGGTGCCACCATAACAATTCTACCCAGAAATTGATTCCTGTGTTTTCTAAAGGGAAGATGAAATTATTTTTACAAGTGAGTATTATGAACCAAGAGCCTTGTCACCTTCCTCTCCTTAGATTAGTTACTGTAATACATTTTCAAAGCCATTTTTCCCTTTTCATTATGTTTGACATTATTGTTTCCCAAGCTTGAAGATTTGCCTGTTTCTGACCTCCTGGACAAAATTACTTACAGGGATAGATTTCAATATAGCATCTTAACCAGTTTTGTTTTGAACTCTTTCTCTCCCTGTAATCTCTGACACAAAGGAGAAACTGATTAGAAGTACAAAGCAGTCTGCCAGGGATGTAATGTAACATTAAAAAGCAGTAAATAATTTATAAGTACTACACAGTAAAGTATTCTAAATTAATCTTCACTGATTTTGTCTGACTGTGGTAGGGAATGAAGATGATGAGAGATATCCTCAGAAGTGGTCACACTAACCACAGTGAACAAAAATATTTCAGGTTGGGCATATTTCCTGAGAGCTGGCAACTCAGAAGTATTGCTTCTACTTTATGGATACAGATTTCCCAGTAATTACAGTGTAGATAAAGATACAAATCTCTTGCAAAAAGAAAACAGAACAAAAGACCAAACCAGATTTACTACAATGGATTTCTATTAGGAGTCAGGAATTTGCACATGCAACCTCACTAATTTGTTGGGTTTGAGTTTTTTCTTTTTTTTTTTTCTTCATGATAAGAGTAGGACCTAGCTGACCTGTGCTTACAACTAAATTGTTTTGATTTATTTGGGATTCTCTGGGTTTTGAAATCTGGATACTGACTGCATTGTTCTAGGACACTGTGTAAAGCATTTGGATAGAGTTCAATTTGTGTTTGTTTACGGTGATATTAGACGTTAAGAGGTTTATCCTGATGCTAACTTCTTTGCCAGAAGCTCCAAAATCAGAGATCACCCTGCATTTCACATAGCTCAGCAGACAGAACCCAGGCCTTGTTCTACTTCTTATTTTGAATTCTGCCACAGGTTTGCTCAGTGAACCAATTTAATAGTGAAATTTCACAGTGTACCTGTTTAGTCCCTTTTGGTTTTTTTATTTTCTTTTTTTTGTTTGTTTTTTAAATATTTCTTGACAGCTGGTTTCTTTGACAAATGTTGTTAACACTTCGCTCCTTGATAATAGAAGAAGACCTAGCTTCTTCTAGATAAGTACAAAGCAAGGTCACCCCTTCTATCACATATGGACCTCTTGCACCAGGAGCAGCAGAAGCCATGCTAGTCTGACCCCAACATTAAGTGGGAAGGCAGCTGGAAATTTGTACATGTAAGGAGTGAGTGGAATAGTGGAGCAGTACTCTCTGTATTTACCCTGTTGCTGTTTCACATTACTGAGTGGTGTTTAAGAAGAAATGAAAATCTTTCTAATGGGATCTAAATGAGACGTGTGAAGTAGCAGAAGGTAGTTTCCTGGAACGAAATTAGATCTGACAGTTAGGATTTAACACACTCTTGTTTTGCCAGAAGTGTGTAAGATTATTAAAGCATCACAACCTCATTTATTTGCTTTGTAATCTGCTCTTAACCTTCATGCTGATGAGGCTGTTACGTAACAGATATCGAAGGCCAGACCTTGTGTTGTTTCAGTGTATGGGAGCCTATGCCCAGAGAACCCAGTGAGGCCAGGAGAGAATGCTGGCTGCATTTTCACTCTTATGTGGCAAGCTTGCCTTTGGGCTGTGGAGAGCATCCCTGAGCACACAATGGTGTACCCTAAAGGTTATTGTATGATGCTATGTACTGTCACTGGAACACTCCCGCTTTCAGGAAGCCCTATTTGGGCAATTCTTTTGACAGGGGTACTGGCCAACCCATTCTCCTTCAGTACTTTTTGGTTGCATACCAAAGCATGTGTGGCTGCTGTGAAGGTGTTCACTGTTTTCATTAAGTATTTTCATTAAACAAAAGGTTTTTTGTCATCAGGAGCAATCACTGATTCAACTTTAATCAAAAGAGGGATTTAGGTGATGGGGAGAGCCCTTGCTGAACTTTTTAGCAAGATGAAACATTGCACTAACCATGCTGTTTGCATGCACCTGTAGGTTGGGAACACGTGTTGAGTGCTAGCTAAACTGACTGTGGTCAGGGAATGCCTAGCTTAAAAGTGCAAAAAAAGTTTGGCTCTGCATGAGAGCTCCAATGAACCCATCTCTAACAAAATCAAAGCCAGAAGTATTTTCCTCATTTTAATGGAGGGAGAAATGCTTCACCTGTTTAGATGCTTCAAAATTCTGCACGGTATCTACTTGGACCTTTAGCTGCCTCAGCAGCTTTATCCTTTTCCACCCTTACAAGCCCAGACTCTAGCTAGGAGTGCTGCAGGACTCATTTGTTACAGTGTTTAGATCTCACCTGCCATCAAAAAACCCCAGCAGTTCATAGTGACTAAATTCTGCAGGTCATCCATAAAAACAGCAGTCCCTGCTGGTACATACCACATATTTCAGGCCCTTTCTCAGTTCTGTTCCTTTCCTTTATCAGGAACTGTAAAATAATTTTTGTTAGACAAAACCAAAGCATAATTTATTTTGCATTTGAGTCTTTATTCTACAACACAAACAACATAAATAGTTTATACTTTTTGTTTTAAAATATTTCCATTTCAGAATTCAGTCAGAATAAAATATACAGAAAATACAATTTGCAAGCCAGCTGACAGTGACTGCCCGACCACTGGACACCCAAGGACCATACAAAGCTAGCGGCACAACAGGACGCAGCGGACATAGGAAGGTGTTTTTCTAAAGAAGAGCGGAAAGGTAGAGGGAGGAAACATGGATGAGACCAAGGAATTGCAGCTAGGTATCAAATTAGCAGAAGGTAAACCCCATGTAAGCACTTGCTTGACAAGGTGATTTATAGTCTCTCTTAAAAAATATTTTTGGCTCCTCCTGAATATACAGCTAGAGAGATTAAGTCCTGGGAATCATGTTTTGTGGTAAAATGCTTCCTGTGGCAGCCATCATCATGGAAATAAAATTTTATTTTTTTTAATTTTCAAACAGGAAAGGCTTAGATCTTTGGTGAAATGGAGTGTCCACTCCCTTTGGCTTGCCTTCAGTTCTGGTTGAAGGGCCCATAGAAGTATGTCTGCAGTCTCACAAATAATGACCAAAAGTGGGGAGAGAAAAGAGGCAGAGAACAGAAAGTAGGAGGAACTGAAAGAAGGTGCTTGCTACTGTCATTGTGTACTTTTCAATCTCTTGCTCCCATCTGCGCCAGCAAACAACACGCAGTACAGGGCTCTGTCACCACCATGCTCTGCCACTCCTCGCTGTTTCCCCTTTGGTATCGAATCCTGCCTTCCCCTGCAGAGTAGGTGGCTCAGGAGCCACAGCCTGCTTATGGAGGTGATATTTGTCCCTTGCTTTAACCTGTGTACCTGTGCCTCTCAGCTAGCTCAGTTCTCTCACTGCAGCTTGCTTCTTGTGAAAGCATGGCACTTCAGTGCAGCCCAGATGAACCAAATGCATGGATAGGAAACAGAGCCTTGGTGCTCCACGGTATTTAGATGAAATTTATGGAAGTACATAAACTACCTTTTGAAAAGTGGGATGTTGGGGTAAAAGGATTGAAATAGATCCTGTTGCCATGTTTCTTAACCAAAAATGCTTTCCATAAACCCTGATTCAATGTGGCAGTGGAGTCTATGCAAACCTCAACCTGTGATTTTGCCAAAAACTGGAATTTGAGGGATCTGGTTCCACAGGCAAGCTCAGTATTGCATTAATCCAGGATCATACAGTGCAGCTCCACTAATAACCACAGAATTAGGGCATTTCTTCTTCCCTCTGCTTTTAGTTTTCAGCTTCGAGACCTCTGACCACTAAGTGAAAAGACTGGTGCATACTTAGGCCATGTGTGTTTTCATTTTTTATTTTTAAATATCCAGCACTGCATGTTTGGCCAAATCTGTTTGTTTAGTATTATTAGTGTCACATATTAAGTATATGTTCTGAGGGGGATTAGTGGAAACAACAGAAAGAGGATATACGACTTCTTCCTTGCAGCCGTACAACTTCCTGGAGTTCCAGGTGTGTTGCTGGTGAGGGCCACTAAGAGACCCCTTAGTCATATCCCTATAGAAGCTCCACTTAAAATAGGGAGTTTCAGTGAAGAGGGATCACTAGCTGCCGGATGCTGTTATCTATATTGCATAAAAATCCAATATTTGTGCTTCTGTGCTATAGTAACTTGGTCCTTCTATACTTACAAAATACAGTTAGGGGTTTTTTTTTGTCATGTACACAGGTCTTTTCATAAATGACTGTAACTGGAGTAATAAGTAAGTAGCCTGCTTAAACATGGTCTTAGTACAAAAGAGGAAAAAAAAAAGAGAGCAATTCCCTTTTTTTGTGAATTAAAAACAATTTATCACTGAGAAATGGCATGTCTAGAACGGATTGCTAAAGGTGACAATAGCCAAACCACACGCTCAGTTTCTCAATTGGCTTCTACACAGATGAGGAGCTAGGTGAAAATAAAACACTTCCAGCTTGTTTGGGTCAGCCTCCTACTGGATCTGTGCAAAAGCAAAGGTTCCAATTTTGCAGAACCGGGATGCATGGGACTATGCGCTAGTTCCTGTGGATTGTTCAAGCAGGAGCTGTATAGGGGACAGCAGCAGAATGGGTGATGTGAGGAACTGTACAGGACTTACCCTTTCCTGAGAACTTGTAAACCCGTATGTAGAGACTAAAGGATTCAAGGACCGAGTCCTGAGTAGTAAAGATGTCTAGGTACTTAACTTCCATTGATTTTAACAGCTTTGGCACTCTGTACCTTTCTTCACAGGTTAGGCCCACATTCAAAGTGAAGGCAGCACATGGAGCTGGACCTCTTTACTTGCTAGTTTGTTTGCTGCTCGGTTTCATGCCAGTGCTGTGACAAGCTCTGAAGTGTCAATACCAACACTGAAATGCTGCTGTATCAAGTACAGATGATGATTACACACAGTAACGTAAGGTACTTAGAGGTGGGGGTTATATCTTTGGTGAGCGAGAATTTGTCAGTGAATTTAGGTTAATGTTTAGGTTTTAAAAAAAACTTGAAGCTCAACCTGAAAGGCAAAGCACCTTACAAGTCACAGGTGTAAACTGTGCTTGGCCTTGGCATGAGCCAGCCATAGTGCAGAGGACATGAATTTTTTATCTGTGATAAGGCAAAAAACTGTGTTGCCTGTGCTTGGAGTTGTACAAGAAAAGTTTTGCCTAAATCTTTTCCTAGTAATTCTTTCTAGATGCTAAATTAAGTCAGTTATTCTCACATGAGTGTTTATCCCCAGGAAAATATTAAATCCGTATCTTAACATCTTAAGGACATGAAAGCATGCTAACCAAAAGATAGTGGTGGTAATTCTGTGGCTGATGAATGTTTAGAAAATGTACCAGAGTAACTGCATTAACCAGTGCTGGTGTGATATAAGCACTTGGACAGCATGATAAACATATTACTAATGTGGATAGCTCTCTGTAAATCTGCTGAATGCTCAGAATATGACAGTGACTGGAGCTACAGGTATCTGTAGATACAGGCATCAATCATCTCATATGTCTGCATGTGTTCGCAGTACGGAATAAAGTGCAAACACATGCAATGGCCTGAGACCATGTAAGCTGGGGTCAAACCTTGCTTCTGGTATGTAAGAGAAGGATCACTTTCCTAATGAGTGCTCTGCTTTTGTTCGCTTTAAATATGTGCAGTGATGAGCTATTTCATGTGCTTAAAGGTAGTGGATGATGGACAACAGCAACTTTCTCTGTTAGTGGTTGCCTACAAGATTTGAAAACGAGTGTCCTTGCCTCTGCTCGCTGCAGTCACCCTGAGGAGGGCAGTGTGAATTAGGCAAAGGCAGCAGAGGTGCAGCTCTGGTACCTGAGAAGGATGTCAAGCCACCAGAGTAAAGCTGCCAAGATGCTGCTGTTAGCTCATGCATTAGGTTATAGAGCTATAAGTGAGGATTTGAATGGGTTATATGTGTGAAAAAGACTTACACGTGTGAATACAAGGGCTACTTTGTGCTACTGATTGAAGTGCTTCCCCACTCACAAGCAGAAAAGCTGCTGTAGCATGGACACATAGCTGGACATGACTGGGATGTTTGGGAATCCCCTCCTGAAGCTTATGACAGGCTGATGCCAGTCACCTTTTCCTGGGACTGTCCTGGCAGACTCCTCCTTTGGGCTGAAAGCTTGAGGTTGGAAGGTATCACACTGGCAGCCATGAGGCATGAAACAGATTGTACAAATCTATGAAATAGTGACTTCATGCGTTTATTGTTCTACTTCTTTGGGGCTTGCTGATGTCTATGGCTAAACTAGCAAAAAAATTGCTGAGAATCCAATGAACTAACTCAATTTTTTTATTTGTTTGTAATTTGAAGGTGCATCAGAAGGCTTCTACATCTCAGATTAATGGTTACTGAAGTGGCCCTGGGCTGCTCTCCTCACCTGCTTATCATTTAATACATAAAGAAAAGGAAGAGCAGCACATGCTGAATTTTGCTATGTAAAGCTTGCTGCTTCAAACCCCACACGCCTCCTTTTAAATCACGTTTCTGGAATTACTCAAAGTTACTCATGACCTCTTATGGAGGGGTATTAATAAGAAGAGGCACTGAGGGTGACAATGGGCACTTGGTGCACAATTTGAAGGACAACGTTTAAAACAGGGCAACAGCAGTATAGCAAATCTACTCCTCATTTTCCAGTATGGTAGTTGCAGTGTAAATAGTTGAAATTAAATTATATTTTAGGTCAAGATGGTGGCTAATCAGATAATACTAGGTTATACTGTTCATGACTTGAGAGAGGTGGTAGTGGTATTGTCACTCCTAGAGCTTTTTTTCTGTTTTGCAGAAGGATTTTGTATTGCAACCAGAACACATAACCACAGTGTTTCCCAGATACTAGGGTCTCTTCTGTAGTCCTGGGTGATTTCACCAGTATTGCTGCCAATTTTAGTACCCCAACGTAATTTAGGGATTTTATTTAGTTTTAGATCAGTACCACAAGGATCTGCATCCATTCAATGCATTTATAATGAAAACCTGTTTTCATTATAAATGCATTATAATGAAATTTATAATGAAAACCTGGGTTTCTTTAAATAATCAAAACCTGTTTTGCATATGGTTTTTTATTCTGATTTCTGTTGTTGCCTAACTAATGTACTGCTGTAAAACCAGTTCTATATAGATGCCCAGTAAAAACTTGCACAAAAAATATAACCACTCTTTTACTCTACCTAAAGATGTATAAGAAGGACATGGCAACAGAACTCAAACTGTGCTACAACTCTCCCAGATACCAAAGGCTAATCTAACCTGTCCCCAAGGAAGTATTTAAACTGTTGGGAGAAAACTGACAATTGAAAAAATTGTTGGTCATTTATAAATTCAGTTTAGGTGGTAGGAAAGAGTTGTTTTTATGGAACTTTTATGTCCTTTAAACAGTTTAGCAAAGAGAAGTTTCGAAAGAAAGGGAAACAGCATGACTGACACTACAGAAATTTATGGGACAAATATTCCCTGCACAAGTCTAACAGGTGACAAATGGAAAGTAGGCAACAGAGGGAAAAGGCAGGAGGATAGTGGCAGACTCTTTGTAAACACAGCAGCTTGGGTGATGGCTGTTCAGTGAAGCCTCTTGGCTCCCTCGGGTTTTCTAGGTTTAAGATGCTAAAAGCAGTTAGTTGTGCAAAATCCAGGCCTGATATAAAGAGATGACATTTTTAGAATGCTTTGGAGCAGGGACTGAAGCTGTATATTTAGTTGGTATGCACATTTGAAAAGTCTTGGGAGAACAGCATTAAGGGGTCACCAAAGATTAAAAATCAACTTATTTTCAACAAGTTATTTCAACTCTGATCAACAAATTATGTGGCATGGGAGTTCCAGATGGAATGTCCCAGGGGCCATGACATAACTTGTGCAGCAAGGTAACCCTTTGCTGTGTCTAGTGTGAAGAGCATCACATATGCATTTGACAACACAAGTCAATCCTTCCCCTTCTCCTCCCTCTTACTAGCAACAGCAAATTGCAGTAGTCCCTACAGGAGTGCTGCACAGAGGGGGATGAACCTCCACGAGGATCTGTCCCTTTCTATTTACAGCAGCAGGTAAGAAATGGGAGAGAAACAGGAAAGACTTTCAGAGTATTTTCCATCTTGCTTCAGCTCAATGTGAAATGATAGGCTACATTTAACAAAGGTGATAAGGGTGTTCCTGGTTACAGCAGCTCTATATAAGCAAACAAATTTCCAGTAGAATCATAGACACAGTGTTGCTTAAACTGGAACACTTTATCCCTACTCTGCTTAGTTGAATGCTGCATACCGGCACATGCTGGTATTTACTCTGTGTTGTGTCTTCCCCACAGCTTCACAGGAAACACAAAACAAGCTTCCCTTTTGCCCTTAGGGGGAATTTGACCTGTGAAAAAGTGGTCAGCTGGAGAGAGGGCAACTCGACAGTGCCATTTCTCTTCAAGCAATACTCCATAAGAGCAATGAAAGGATCAGTAGTCTGTGCTTGGTTCACCAGTTTTAGACCTGGAATACTTTAGCTACTCCAAATGTGACCAGACTTCAAAGGCTGTTCTTGGAGCAAAATCAATTTCCACTTTCTTTAGTAAGTGATGTATATGGTTACTATAATAGTCTTTAGTTGCCTATCCTCTCTCATGCTAATTTTTGAAGGGAAAATGTTATCCTAAAATGTTTTTGCTTGTCATACAGCTCCATCTTTTTCCCGACTTGCATTTATTTATTTATTTAAGTTACATAGGCTTACTGACCTGGTTTGACATCCACATGACAGTTGCATTCACAGCTAATTGCAAGTGTGGAAGTTCTGCTGCAGTTTCTCGTGGCTCCCACTGTCGCAAATTTGAATTAAAGTGAAGGGTACTGAAATCTATCACCCCTTCAGGTACCAGCCTGACTTACTGGTAGTTTCTGGGTTCTGGGGCCATGCCAGACACTTGGACAGACTCACGTTTTGCCTCCTTTGCTAGTGTGAGTGAGGAATACACAATCTCAAATGGATGACATAAATCAACAAGCTCATTGTTTCTTAATTTATGACCAACAAATAGGCAACTAATGAACCCCAAATACTTCTTTGCTGTATACCTTGAATGCCTTTTGCCCTTTGCAACAGAGCACTGCTTGGTTTAAATGATGATATCGTAAACTCGGCCCACTCTTCCCAGCCATTCCCGCACTGCCTGGCGAACACGGATATCTGTCACGTGGCAAGTCAGCTGGCTGATACAGGGGAACACTGCTGGCTGCAGGGCTGTGAAAGTTTGGTCTGGCAGGGCCTGAATCTGGTTGAGAACTGTCAGCACCATGTTGGTCCATGCCTATAAATAAGTTGGACAGAAAGAAAAGACTCTTTAGAAGACCTTTCTAAACAGATGAGCCCATTGGTTGAGGCACAAAATAAGATATCTAGTGGCTACAGCCTCATGAAGGGGACTGAGTAATGCCAGCATATTCATTTAATGTTCACTGTGTTTTCCTAATTCACATTCAGTACTATAAGTAATTGTTTGACTTTGTATTGCAGGTATCATGCTCAGCCTTCATCACCTTTTTTTTGTCCCACAGTGAACAAAGTCTATCAAGTTTGGTGCTTTCACTGATTTGTTCACTTGGACATGCAAGCAGCAAGTTTCTGTTCAGCAACAGAGCCCACTATTTCGGCTCTGGAATTAACAAAGAAACCTCAAGGACAAGGAGCATGCTGTTTTCAAAAGCTTTAAGTGGGCTAGAGCCCTCAGCAGTAAGCAATGAGTTTGCTGTAGGTTACTAGTTCTTAAGATTAAGTGCAGCTTTGACCCAAGTCACAGAAACACTCTTGAAAGCTGAACTAGTATATATATGCCTGATAACACTTCCCTAAAGACCAACTTTCTTTTAATAGGACAGAATCAGGTTTTTATCAGTACCAGCTGCTGCAAGATTCAGTGCTCATCATGAGGACTTCTTTATATAAAAAGGCATTTAATGAAAAGATTATAATAAAATCAATTAAAAATATGTATAGGTATATTTTTATTTATTGTTATTATTATTAGCATTCCACAAGAATGTCCTACCTGTATCTGGGCCTCAGCATCCCTAACAGATATATTCAAGGAGCTGACTGTAGATCCTGAGCGTGGTCTCTTCTCTTGTCTCAGGATCTCTGGACCAGCACTGAATGAATGCCTCATTTGACCTTGATCTATAAGATGTTGTGGCCGCTGGAGTACGGGTGAATCTGGCCCTCTTGAACCCAGGAGCTCCCCTTTCTTTTCCACTTTGATCTCTTTGGTGAAGGATGTCATAGCCTGTTGCTGCTTTCTCTTCTTGTATTCTGTCATGAGCTTGGAGATGGTTTTGTCAGTGGCTATAGTGTAGATCTTGTTGCCAGCACTCTCCCACCATTCTTTTTTCTTAGTTTGCTCTTTTTTCTCTGGTTTAGGACTTAAGGGTGGGGGGAGCAGCAACATTTCTCCACTTCCTCCTCGAGGTGTCAGGCTGTCTCCCAGTTGGTCCCTGATTTGACTCCGGTCATCCTCTGATGGTGTGTCCTTTCCAGATAGCCCTCCAGTTGATGGGGTGGAGGTTTCTGAGTAAAAAGATGGTAAAATGAAGAAAGAGTCACCTTTGAATACTGGAGGCTCCTCTACATTATTCTCCAGGTCCAGATGCATCTGGATATAGTTGTTGCACAGTTCCATGCAGAGCTTATGAAGCCGCTTGATTAGCCACCCCCAGTCCGCATTGCTGACAGGTTGCACGCTCAGAGATGGTATTCGAGCCCTCCACTGCCTCTTCTCCTTCCCTCGGGGGGGACTGACCTGGGCAGTCTCTTCAAAAATGTCTTCGTCTTCTGAAGAACACTGCTGTGATGAGTCTGTGCTTCTCTCATCATCTTCAAAGAGGATCTTTTTCACTTGCTCTGCAGTGATGTTCTCCTGGTTTGTCAGGATTGCACAGACCAAGGCATGGAAGTAGATGTTGAAGCTCATTGCCGACTGTCGATACAAGTTGGCAGCTCCACTTATGCCAGATACTTTTTTCAGCAAACACTTCAAACCAGGTCTGGTGTCAAACTCTCTGGCTGTTCTGTAGGAGTCCAGCAGTAAGTCAAAGATGACAGCCAGGTTTTGCATGGAGATGTACCTGAGAAAACCAGCCAACTTGTTTTCTGGTACTTGTATTGTCATTTTCTCCTCCAAGTTAGAAGGGCCTTTCACGAATTCTTCCAGTAAGATGTCATATAAATTCTGGAGCAGTACTTGGTGGGACAGCAAGCTCACCACTATCGTCCTGAAAGGAATACTTGGTAAACCAAGCATAGGAAGGAAAAAAATCATAGAATATTAAAGCGGTGCATTGTGCTTTCACTAGGAGTACAGAACTACTTTATATTGTAGAATCTAAAACAAAAAGTGCAAATGAAAAGCCAAATTTTCACAGTCTTGTTACAAAAGAAGTGGAGAAAGATAAAGCGGTCTAGAATGGTCTTTCAGCTACTCTTTTAAATATTTTCCTAAAAGGGAAGACTCTTGGATTGGTTTAAGCAAAAAGTGTCCACAGCAACCATGCTGATAGCACTTGTGTAGAGATGGTATTAAAACAAAACTCTATTATGATTTTTGTCCTTTTCTCCAGTGTCTGACACTGAGGGATTAAATATTCTGGGGTATTCAGCCTGCTATAACTGAAGGACTCGTCAACACAAAAGTTACCCTTCCACCAACATGTCAGACAACCTTAACCTTGCCACGACAAATTGAAGCCAAAACTAGTTTACTATTTGGTTTCCATTTCCACTAATGCCAAGAGTATTTCTTAAAATAAACCTCAAAGAGCCAACCAACCAATAAATAGACATGTACAGAAACAGCAGCAGTGCAATGCAGCACGCAAACAAGCTGAAGTCTGGCTGAAGGCACATGTTTGCTCTTAAGACCAACTTGAACACTGAGAAGCTAGCATGGAAATATCTACTCCTAACCCTGTTTCTCACATATAATATTCTTAGCTGTACTCCTGTTAGAGAG